TAATCTGTCTTCCCTGTGCAAACCTCAGAAACTGCTGCAAATATGCATTTAGTGAAGCTCCAGCGCAGTAGATGAACACTGATCCTGCACAGAGGCAGAAGGAAAGCCTGGGTGATCCTTTTGACCCTAAAATTGGTATCTCACTCCTCTCTTTGTCCAGTAAGGGAGCCAGAGGACAGGAGACTCCTGAACCCTGGCCATGCCCACAGCACAGATGGGCCTGGTCAAGAAGCTGCTGCTTTGCCCATTCCAGCCCCTGTGGGTTCCTCCCTTCGGGCTCAGTCTGGGTTTCATATGCAGAGGGATTCACATGTTGCTTCTGCAAACTCATTGTGCTGGGAAGCTTCTCATGACCAATGGGTCAGTGGATTCCCCTGGACCTCCTGACCGTCTCACAGCTACAAATTTCCTGCTTATCTCCCACCAAATGCCTCAGGGGCACAACCTGGGGAGCAAGCAGGTTCAGGCATCCTTGCCATGTGCTTCCTAATCACTGCTCAGCTGCAAAATCCCTTTCCTGCTTCCTGCAAGGAGTGTGAACTGTTCCTTGCACTTTGGCTGGTAAAAAGGATGATAATTACCCCTAATCAGTCTGCAGCGAAAACACAGGCCACAGCAGAAGGGAGGGGTAAGGGGCAGCCACCATGAGGAATGGAGCCCAATTATTCCAAGTCACTGATAAAACGGGATCAAAGAGGTAGGAATGTTTTACCAGCTGTAAAAAGCCTGCCTGGACCCAGGCTGCTCTTGGAGAAAGGCCCTTTCTGCCTACAGGCCATTCCTGGCTGGGACCTTATGCGTATCCAGGGACAGTTTCTCATTTTTCTTCTTGGTGTAGGCGAGGAATTTGGGTTGGTGTTAATTTCTGCCTCTGAGAGCAAGCAGCAAGACAGTTTCAGCAGGAAATGAGCATGGAACCATGGGCATACTGTGCAGAGCAAGTGCTCTGTCTGCTGCCCATGTGGGCACTCAAGTGCTGGGACTCTGCTGTGTCCTATCAGGGGCACCTAGGTGTGCCAGGGATGGAGCAGATGGGGTTGGGTGGTGATGGAGGTGAGGGACAGCACTGCTGGAGGCATCTGTGCCCTGCCAGTGACATGTTCATGGGGAGAAGAGTGCTGCATTTCTGGCTCCTTCAGGTCCCTGTGAGTCTGTGCAGCCCCACTGCTCATCCCAGCCTCTTGCTGCAGCAGGGAGACCTGCACAGCTCATAACAGCAGCAGGAGAGTTGGGAGGTGGTGAGGGAGAGAAGGAAAACAGCCCCTTATGTGAAAGAGGGACTTGAGAGGCAGATTGTGTGTAAATCACTCCCAGGCCTGCCCAGCCTTTGCCTTGTCTGGCTGATTGTTGTGCTATCTAGAGAAAGTTTAATATAAAAAACCAGTAATCCCTGTGATAAGAGAGGTGATAAGGGACAGTCTGGCCTGGATGTGGCAGGGGGCCAAGGTCCAGTGCCCGACCTCCCCCACCAGTCCTGGCCTCCCATCCCATCCCAGGTGGCACAGAAGTGGCAGGACTGCCAGTGTGCAGGGGCAGCAGGGCTGGACAAAACAAACAAAAAAAAAAAGCAGGAACCAGCTCTGCTTCTGGAAAAGAGGGGCTGAGGAAGCAGGGAGGTAGGAAGGGGAGAGCTCTGTGAGAACCCCATGGCATGAGGCTGGCTGTGGCTAATAGCCCACAAGCTGCCACCACTGGCCCTTATAAAATGCCTCACAGATGTCTGAATACAGGGTGGCAGTGGGGGAACTGCAGCCTGGGGAGGAATTGAGATTTCTCAGCAGGTGGGGTAATAAGGGCAGCTGAAGTTTAATGAGTTTGGTGGGTCTCATCCCTGTTTCTACTGGAAGGAGGCCACAGCATTCAAAACACGAGTGAGAAGCAAAGGAGTCTCTGGCTGAGCCACCCCACAGCCCTGTCCTGTCTGTGCCACTCTGAGCTGTGCAGTGCCCCACATTCTTCAGAACCCATCCTGCAAAGCACCTGTGTGTGGGGTTAGCTAGAGGTGATGGGACTTAGGAGAGATCCTGAGGCTGTGGAGAAAGGGGAAAAACCTTCCTTGTCTCAGTGCCTGAATTGCTGCTGTGCCTTTTTTTCCTTTCTCTTTTAATGCCAGGTAAAAGAGAGAGTATTCTCAGGGTAAAAGCAGCATCTCAGAGCCTACATTTTCGTAATAATGACAGCATGGCTCTCACCTTGTGTCCAGAGCTTCAGAGCAGAAAATGTCTGTACAACCTCTCTCCTTGAACCACTGCAGGAGTGGGACATAATATCTGAATAATTTACAAAGGCTCTTCATTACACAGATTTATTTTTGGCAGCTTTGTTAGACTGTTCCTTTTAGGAACTAATAGGAAGTTTCTCTGGTTTCATTAGGACATCCGTGTATGAATTGTTCCAGTGGGGCCAGGGACTGGGACAGCTTCTTGCTCCATTAGAAATGCAAAATATTTCTGCCCTCTCTGGCCCCCATGGCTTTCTGGAAACCCACCTGCATGCCCAACCCTGACCCAGCCCTGGCTGTAGCAAGAGTTCTGCATGATTTTATTCCTGGGCAAGATGTTGAGGGAGTAGGGGGCTTCCCCACACTGCCTTCAAACAGCTTTGCAGCAGACAATATGTTGGTTCACTTGGAGAGCTCCTACACAGAACTCCCTTTCCTATGCTGGAAAAACCTTCATTTCTCAGGTCAGGTCTGAGGTGGGCTGTGGGAACCCCCACTGTTCACCAGGCTGTGTTTAGGGCCAGCTCCTCTGTGCCCAGGCCATATTCAGCCCCAGTGACTCACACAGCCTGGACCAGCCTAAAATCCCGTCTTCTTCAGATGCAGGTGCATTGCCTGGCTGGGAACGGGCCCATTAAAAAGTCATTTACTAGGCACAAGCGAGTTTGTGTTCCCCTGGATTGGGATTTGCCAAGATTATACCATAAATTAGAGTGTTTCCTGGAAGAATGTAAGGAGAGAGGAAAAAAAAAAAAAAAAGATAAAATGGAACATTTTGTAGCCAACTGCAATGCCAATAAAGGAGCATTTCATTTCCCACTTGGAAGGGAGTGACTGCAAGCTGTTGCAAGGGTAGGGCAGGGTGCCTGTGCTGCTCCAGGACCAGGGGAAGGGGACAACAGGGACCTGGTCTGGCTGCATGCACACACTGACCATAAACTGCATTTCTCTGGCCTTGAGCAGAGCCTAAGCTGGGGTGACTCAGTTTCTCTCCATGTAAAAAGGGGGACCGGGATGCCAACCCCACTGGGGAAAGACTGTCTGCCCTGTTTTCCAACCCTTATTCTGCAGGGACACAAAGCCTGCCTGCACTATTAATAATCCTTGGCATGAAGCTGTCACAGTTTCCACTAATATGGAGATGTTGAAGTGAAAAAGCTACTGCACAATATGCAGGAGGTGTCACAATAACTCAGCTGCTATATTGTTCTTTTTAAAAATAAATACCACAACAGGCCAGCCCACATTGCTGGAGTCATGTAGGATTTTATTTTTAATCAGAAAACGTACTGATTTTTAAAGATAGACATGGAGCAACATCCAAAATTTATGAAAGCTCCCTGTGTGCTCACACGTACCAACCGTGCTCCTGCCTGTTATTCTCCGAATGGCTTCCAAGGACCTGATCCTGCCGCAGCACAGGCACATTTGGGTGTGTGGCTTTGCAAGAGGCCCCATGGCAACTAAGTCCTTCCAGAAATAAAGTCTGTGGCTGAATTCCCCACCCCACTGCTCTCTGGGGGGATGCAATCGATGCTGCAGGACACCAACTGCAGGGTCTGCTCCTCACGCAGTAGGTTTAGGAATAAAGTTTGCATCCAGAGCAAAATATTCCCTTGTTTGGAGATCAGAGGTTTGTTTGGGGACCAGCTGTAGGTGAATTACCTTTTTCCTTTGCCTTCCCTCATGCTCAGCCAAGGGCAACGCTGAAATAAAGCAAAACGAAACTCTGGGTTAAAAAAAAAAAAAAGCCTGTTCTGCTTGGGAAGGGCGTGAAAATGAGCTGCGAGGAGCCTTTACTGCCAGCAAGGGCCGGTCCGGGGCTCTGGACCTGCCTCAGGCCAGCCGGACCCTGGGCCTGCCCTGGGGCGCTCTGCCGGGCTGGGGCTCAGACGGGCCGGGCAGGGACACCCCACGGGCAGGGACATCCCACGGGCAGGGACACCCCACGGGCAGGGACACCCCAAAGGGCAGGCACCCCACGGGCAGGGACATCCCACGGGCAGGGACATCCCACGGGCAGGGACACCCCACGGGCAGGGACACCCCAAAGGGCAGGGACACCCCAAAGGGCAGGGACATCCCACAGACAGTGACACCCCACGGGCAGGGACACCCCACGGGCAGGGACACCCCACGGACAGTGACACCCCACGGGCAGGGACACCCCACAGACAGGGACATCCCACGGGCAGGGACACCCCACGGGCAGGGACACCTCACAGACAGGGACACCTCACGGACAGTGACACCCCACGGACAGTGACACCCCACAGGCAGGGACACCTCACAGACAGTAACACCTCACAGGCAGGGACACCCCACGGGCTGTGGCACCCCACGGGCTGTGGCACCAGGACGCTGCGGGGAGGGCCGGGCAGCCCCGGCCGGGGAGCAGAGGCTGGCGGGGCAAGGCCCGATCCCCCCGTAGGGACAGCACGGAGCTCGGCCCGGCACGGAGCCCGGCCCGGCACGGAGCTCAGCCCGGCCCGGTGCCCGCGGCCGGCGGCGCCGCGCGGCGGGGGCGGGGACCGGCGGGGGCGGGCGCGGCCGTGGGCCCGCCCGGGCCGGGGAGGCGGCGGCGGCGGCAGGTGGTGCCGAGCAGCCGCAGGACGGAGCCGGAGCCGCAGCCGCCATTAGACAATAGGCGCCGGCGGCGGGAGCGGCGCGGGGCGAGCGGCGCGGCCGGGGCGGGGCGGCCGCGGGGCCGGGGCGGCCGGACCCGGCGCGGACAAAGGCGGCGGCGGCGCGGGGAGCCGCGGCGGGGGCGGCAGGCGGCACCGGGCCGCTCCGTGCGGGGACCGAGCCGCAACCTGACATGATGTTTCCACAAAGCCGGCACTCGGTACGGCGCGGCCCCGGGGCCGGAGCGGCCGCGGGGCGGGGCCGGGCGCCGGCGGGGCCGCGGGACGGCGCGGGGGCTGCCCGGCCTCCCTCGGCCCCGCGGCATCGAGGGGATCGAGCGCCTCCCGCCGCCGGCAGCCGCGGCCGGTGCCGAGGGGCGGCGGGGCCGCAGGCGGCACCCGGGAAGGGGCCCCACGGGTGACCTTGGGCGCGTCCCGGACACGGGCGCTGGGCCCCGGGGGTGCCCGCGGCGGGGACTCGGCCCCCGGGGCGGCGGGAGCGGGGCGGGCTCGGGGCGGGGGGGCCCGGCGGCCACCGGCTCCTGGCTCCGGCCCCAGCGCTGTCTCCTGTTGTTCAAGGGCTCCTCTCACCTGCCTCAGCAGCTGAAGTTCACGACCTCCGACTCCTGCGACCGCATCAAGGACGAGTTCCAGCTGCTGCAGGCCCAGTACCACAGGTATGTGCTCCCCCCGGGCCCGGGGCTGTCCCGCAGCCGATGCACGGGAATCGCTCCGATTCTTCTGCTCGTTGCTTCACTCTGGGGACCGGATGAGAATATGGGGAGGGGGACTCGGTGGCGTAGCTTGGGACACCTTTGGCTGGAGGAGGAACTCGGGCACGGCGTTGGTCGTGTCCACATGGGAGCCCAGCGAGGAGAACGCCCATTCCCTTCTCCAGCCAAGGTCTTTCCTCCAAGTGCTGCTCAGCCAGGACTGCACAGACACTTGCCAGGTCTCCTGCCTCTTGCTGGGAGTTTTCCTCAGTTTTTTTTTGCTGGCTGCAATTCCTGGACTGCAAATGCTGCAGGGAGCACTTAAATCCAAAAGCTTCTACTTTTCTGTGTGTATGTGTGTAAATAGTGCTGCAGACCCAAAAGCTGGCCTGAGACAATCTGTTGCTTTGCATGTGTGTGTGTCTGACCATAAGCATGAAGCCCTTTGGTTGAAATGGTCTGGGTGATGCCCTCTGCCACGGCCTGGCTCTGGTTTTGGTGCCATGTGGCACCACATGGCATTGGTGCCATGTGGCTGCAGTGTCCCCCAGCCCAGGCTCTGCCTGCAGGCAGGTTGTAAGTTTGTGGTGGTGTCATTCTGGTAGGAGCAGGCAGAAAAACTGCTGGGAAGTGGCCATTTCCTGGTGTCTCTGTGCCTTGGCAGTGCCATCAGGGGAGTGGGGCAGCCCAAGGAACGTTCCTGCTGAAAGGGAAGCTTTCCCCCCACGCCGCTCCACCCCCTTGGACTTAATCTGCTCAAGAAGGAGCAGGTTTTGTGTAGGTGAAGCTGTTTCTTGTTTGAAACATAAAACCACAGCACATGCTGGCTGCAGTTGCTCGGCTGGTGAGTTGGAGTCTCATAAAACACTGGGAGCAGCAGCACTTTCTCTGAAGGGTGTGAAGAATCTAGGAGAGAGGAAAAAATCCTTGCTTCTGGAGGGATGTGCTGCACTTGGGCCTCCCCCCCGCCCCCATCCAGAAGTGGGTCTGGCTTTGTTTTTGATGTTGTATTGGAACATCTCTTGAGTGCTGCAGACAGGTTCTGTGCCAGAATCTGTCCCCAGCTGCCAACGATCTGTTGAGGAAAGGCAAACCCCTCCCTGGGCAGCCAACTCTGCTTCTCCCCAGCATTCTGCTTCCTGTGGAATGGATTTGCCTGAGGGAGGTCAGTGTTCTGCTGGTGGATAGCCTTGTGTCCTTTTCCTGAATGTGTGCTGGGGAGACTCCAGCTGAGAAATTGGGAGCAGGCTCTGTGTGGTCACTACTGTGAGCACAGCACAGCCTGTCTGGGCTCTGGCCACCCCCTGAAGTCTGGATAGTGATGTCCAAGAATCCAGCCTGGCCGGGATGAGGCCATGCAGGAAGCAGCTGCTCTGCGGCGATCAACTCTCTCACCTCCTGTTTGTGGTTTTCTTACTGTTTTCTGGCTTTTCAGCTTGAAGTTGGAATGTGACAAACTAGCCAGCGAGAAATCGGAGATGCAGCGTCACTACGTCATGGTAAGGACCGGCCCAGCAGCCAGAGCAGAGTGTGTGGGTGGCAACACCAGCAGGTGCCCGAGCCTGGGCTCTGCCTGGCAGGGATCCCACGCCCTGCAGAGCTCCAGGGCTCTCAGCAGGGCTGGAATTGGCTTTTTTTTCTGGAAATGGGGCTGTTGTGTGTTGGCTGCATGCAGGGGATTTGTTGAAATGCACGGTGGCAGGGAGTTTTTTGATTTAGAAAATGGGGCTCGGTGGGGGATTGTTTGATGGCCTGCCTCCCTGTGCCTAAAGGAAGTGACAGCTCTTACACACCTGAGAAGGTGCTGCAAGGTGCTGCTGTGCAGATGTTTGGGGACTCTGGGAAGGTCATGTCCAGTGAGAGACAAAGCAGTGCTCTGAGAAGTCAGGAAACTGGGAAAACCCACCAGCCAGGTGTGAATTAAAAGCAGAAATCAGCTTCTGAAACCCTGTGCACCTTCTGGTGACCCCACAGCCTTGTTGAGCCATGGTGCTGAGTGCTGGCACGTGTGTCCCAGCACAGGGTGTGCAAGCCCTAGGGCAGTGCCTGGTAAAGGCATGAGAAATGGTGCCACGTGTGGGCAGCAGGCTTAGCTGTGGCTTTCCAAGGAGAAATCTGCCAGGAAACAGCCATGTTCTGGTGAGAAGGGTGAGGGTTTGCCTGCCAGGTAATGCCTCTGGAGCCCTTGTAGCAGAGGGGAGGGATGCCAGGCAGGGCTGTGGTCTCTTCCTTTCCTATCATGGAGTTAACAGGAGGCTGCAATATTGTCCATGAAGATGAGCTGGTTCCTGCTTGCCAGCTGCTGCACTTGCCCTGGAAAGAAGAGATAAGATGTAGAAATTAATAGAGCAGCTCTTCAGAGCAGAGTTAAGACTTAAAAAATCAGAAATAAGGGAGCTAGCTGGCCCCTTCGTCTTTCTCTACTGCCCTTGTGGCCAGACTCTGAGGCTGTGGGGAGCAAGGTGTGCTTGGGGCTGGGGACAAGGAGAAGAGGTCACAGCTTTCCTGCTGTGTTAATGGGGAAGCTTGCCCTGTTCTCCCTGGTAAACAATTGCTTCCTGTGCCTCTCAGTCTGCACGGAAACCCTCATCTCCAGCAGTGGCCAAGATACATTTTTTTTTTTTTTTCCTCTTAATGCTGGCAGTCACCAGAATTGATTCAGGTTGCTGTCAGCAGCAGAGGGGAAGGGCTGCTCCTCGTGGCGCAGCGCTGGAGGCTCTGCAGGCGCAGCAGCTCCTGCCTTGTCTGCGTGGCTGAGCCGGAGCTGCTGCCGCTCCCTGTCACGGGGAGCCAAGAGGAGGGTTCCTGAGAATGTGCAAAGCTGCTACAGCTGCTCTGATTTTTGAATAAGTCACAATTGGCAGCTTGGGGGACGGGCTCCTGCTTCCTGCTCGGTCTTCAGAATGCAAAGAAGCCTCGAGAGCCCACAGCAGGCTGAGATCATTCCGATACCAAGCCGGGCGCTTCAGCGCCTTGTGGCGTCGGTACCAGGATGCCAGTGATCCTCAATTAAATGAGCACAGATGTGGATTGTTCTTTTCCCTTTGGAAGAATCAGGATTGCAGCCTGCAGGCTGCAGGAGGAGGTTTCTAAACTCTCAAAACATCAGCCTTATAACAGCTTCTTCCAGGGGTCAGGAATTAGCTGCCTCTGCCAATAGATTGTCTGTAGCTGCCTGTTGCTGCTGTGCAGGGGTTTTCTGGGTGGATTGTTTTTGTGTGTGGTGGGGGGAAGTTTCCACATAACTCCTTCCTAAACAGCTGGAGCTGTGTGCAGCTGGATGTGTTACTTGCTAGATGAAGTGCAGTTGTGATCTCTCCCATTTGCTGCTGAAGCAGTCATGTGGGCTTTAGGATACTGGCCAGGCAAAGCTCACCGAGCCAGGCTGCTTCTCCTGGCTGTGCTTAGGGAAGTCTGGAGCCCTGAGCCTTTTTCCAGGTTTGACACAGCATCACTCACTCTCACCTCAGTGCAGACTGTGGAAAGGTGTTTGTGAGGGGAGTCCTGTGGGGCAAGTCTCCAGGTCTGGAGCAGGGTGGACAGGGAGCACCTGGAGGGGGTCTCTGTGCTTGCCTCCTTCTGTCTTTGTTTCCTGGTGTTTGCCTCTGCTCTCCTGCCTTGCCCAGCCTTTGTAGAAAACCCTGCCAGGAATGCAGTGGTGGTTCCCAGCAGTTACCTGGCAGAGACTTGACTTACAATTGTTTTTTTTTTTCTCTTCTCTCCTGCTCTGCAGTACTATGAGATGTCCTACGGGCTGAATATTGAAATGCACAAACAGGTAGGGGGAAAAGCATCTTCAAGTGCTGTAATTCCTGGGGAAGGTGCATTGTCTGCTCTGCTTTGCTCTCTGTCACATCAGTTGAGTTTCAGGAGCTAGAAATGCCATCAGCCTGTAAAATATCAGAGCTGCCTTTGAAATTCAGGCCCCCTCCACCTCTCAGGATCACAATGCTGGCCTGTGGGCTCCCACCCTGGGCTCTGGGCACCCTGTGGTTCTCCCCAGGGCCTCAACAGGTATTTGAGCACCAGGAAGGGTCTGGAGCTGTGGCTTGGAGACTCTGTGGCAGCCTGGATAAGTTTGCTCATTGCCCTCACTGGTGGTTAAGTTGTTAATTATCCCCAGTGACTAATTACCTATGGTGTTAACAACATGAGCCTCCTCTGAGCCTATCTCTATCTGGCTCTAGCTCCAGTCACAAAGTCGGCTGCATGTCGTGGCTCAGTTTTAAGCCTCTTAGCACAGTTCTGTTCCTCACAAAGGCACTTGGTGCTTCTGATCCCATTGCCCTTGTTGCTAAGCCCATGAGACTGGCTTCCCTGGGAAAACCTGGATCTTGTCAAAGAATCTGAGCCACAAATCCTCTGCTGTCCCACGAATGTCTCCCAGCCTCATCTCGTTCCCTGTGGTGCTGTTGGGATCCCCTCAGCTGTTTTTGGTGTGTGCCTGTACCCTTTTGCTCTGTATTTATTTTTACTCCCTTGGAAAGTGATTTGCAAAGGACTGGTAGCTTCACTGTTTGCCAGGAGAAAAGCATTTAACACCTCAGGATTTGCCACTGCTGGTGTGAGGGCAGTGAGGAAGCTGCCCAGCCCCTCTGGTCTCCCCCAGCAGCCCAGTCCAGCAGCTCAGCTGGGGAGGGGGAGCCTGAGAGGGCTGAACAGCCATGTGTGTGTCTGTGTCCACATGGCAGATGTAATTCAGCACATCCCCACCAGGCCTGCAGTAACTTTGCTCTCTTGTTGCTCCCAATTGCTTAAATGAATGTTGGGGACCTGGAGAGGAAGAGGAATAATGAAACTTTGCTCTTTGCAGTCAGCAGCATGCTTTCATTTAACCATGCAGGGAGGAGCCTTGGGGTGCAAGGTGATCCCCATGGCACCAGGATGCTGCCAGGACAGTGGATTTTCTCAGAGCCATTTGGGGACTCGGGCCTGGCCAGGGGAGGGGGAAGGTGGGGCAGCTGATGCTGTGGATGCTCAGTCCTGAGCTTCCTGACCTTTCCTCTCTTATTTCTCCCACCTTTTAGGCTGAAATTGTCAAGAGGCTAAATGGGATTTGTGCACAGGTTCTGCCCTACCTTTCACAAGAGGTGAGTTCCCCAGCTTGGGAGTCTGTTGACGTGGAGGCTCCTGTCCCTCTGCAGCCAGGAGGTGTCTCAGCCCTCCAGCACACACAGCTGCCCACCCCTGCATGGGAAATCCTTGCTTGCTCTCAGCCCCTGCATGGGGACCAGCCCTTCAAGGCAGTGCTGGCTCCTGGAGCTCTGTGTGGTGGGTAATGGGTGCCCCTCCATCCCTTTTGTGGCAGCTGGGGACAAAGCTGGTCCTGCTCTGTCCTGTTCGTGGCTCCTGAGCCATCAGCCACGTCTGCAGTGGGAGCTTTGGGTGCTAATCGGGGGAGGACATTTAAAAAATACCTCCATATGGCTCCTCTTGGAGATCTGGTTCCTCTGCCTCATTAATTAATGCAGCCGATGGGCTCCTCCCACTCCCCTGAGAAATTAATTGGAGAAGGGGGTGCTTGGGAGTTGCTGTCTGAGGCAAGGGGGAGATTAAGCACTTCTAGAGCCTTATTTTCTGTCTCCCCATGGAGGCTGAGCTCTCAGCAGTTCTCCTGGCCCTTTGGGGGTTGGAGGCTTCTTACTTGGGGTCAGTGCTGGGCTTGGGGCACAGGTTCTGTTTTTCCCACCCACCTGTTCTTAGGACAGACAAAGTCTCTTGCTGATCAGATCAGAGCTGCCTAATAACTAAGCCCCAGCTAAATCTTTTGCATCTTAATGCAATCCTTAACCCTGTCCTGGTGCCAAAATGAAAAGAAAAATCTCCTTGCTGAAGTACAGTAGACAGCCTGGTGTTTCAAAGACTTTGTGCTCTGCAAGAAGCAAGTACAGTTCTTTTTTTTTTTTAAGGTATATGATACATCCATTTTTTTCTGCCTGTGTTTGGAACACCCAGCTGCTGTTGCAGTTGATATCCAGGATGTGTCCCAAGGAGCTTCCCAAGAGCTGCTGATTTCAGGGCTTGGTTTTTTTGTTAGAGGGTCTGTGTAGGTGAAGGGTGGCAGGATGAGAGACACTGCCCACCTTGGAGCCTTCTGACCAAGGATCTCTGGGTGTGTGGAGAGCAGAACGAGGGTGGGGGTAAGAGGGGACCTGCTTAACCCTGTGGTGAGGAAATGGATGAGACAAAGGTGCTTCCTTCCCTGCTCCTTGCTGCCCTGGGCTCGGGTGTGAGGCCCTTGTCTCGGGTGAAATGAGTGCAGGTGTCTCCAGCTCTGGGTAACCAGCCTGATTGTGTGGACTGGGTCCCTGTTCTGCTTCTAGAAGTGACCCCTCATTCCTCTGTTTTCTCCATGCCAGCATCAGCAGCAAGTCTTGGGAGCCATTGAACGAGCTAAGCAGGTCACGGCGCCAGAACTGAACTCCATCATTCGTGTACGTGATGCACCTTTAGTTTGGGATGGGAGGGGCTGGAATCCAAGGGCCAGGACACAGAGCTGGGCTGTGGATTCTTGACCTGGGGACATCAGGGGACCCCTGCTCTGGTGCTGCAGCTGCAGTGGGACGAGGCTGCAAGGCTGGGCTGGCTGTGCTGGCACAGGGCTGGTTCCACCCAGGTTTGCTGTGATGTTTGCAGGGATCCCTGCCCTGTCTTAGCAGGGTGCCAGGAGAGGAGCTTTGGTTTTGAGCAGGAACCGCAGTAGGCATTTGGTATGAAAACACCATCTGCTCTTGGTAAAAGTTGTGAGTGAGGGCTTTAACTGCAGCCTTAGGATGTGCCAGAGCCTGGGGCCAGGTGTCCTGTGGGGTTAGGGGCTGTGTTCCCAGCTGGGGACACGCTGTTGAGTCTTTGGGGGTTGTCACAGCAGCAGGGCTCGAGAACCTCTTTTCCCACCCACCCCCGAGGCTGCAATGCTCTCAAGCTCCCTGAGGTCCCTGGTTTAAGCTGGATTGCTGGCACGCTCTGGCCAGTCCAGGCCCTTGGTTTGGGGTCCAAGTGCACTCAAAATGACAATACCCCCGTTGTGTCTCCATGTCTGTCCATCATTCCCTACAGCAGCAGCTTCAAGCCCACCAGCTGTCGCAGCTCCAAGCCCTCGCTCTGCCTCTGACTCCGCTCCCCGTGGGGCTCCAGCCCCCGTCACTCCCCGCTGTCAGCGCCGGCACCGGGCTCCTGTCGCTCTCGGCCCTGGGCTCGCAGGCTCACCTCTCCAAGGAGGACAAGAACGGCCACGATGGGGATGCCCACCAAGATGATGACGGGGAGAAATCGGATTAGAGCGACCGGGGGGCCGGGGGAAGGGGGCTGTCTGGGGGAGGGAGGGAGGGGGCGGGTTAGTGCAAAATGCAGTATCTCTCTCTACTTGCTGTGCAGCAGGGCCGTGGTGACCTGTGCTCGGTGGCAGCTCGCCAGGCCTGTCCCCACGGGCAGCTGGCAGGGCCTGGGGGGTGTCCCCAGCGCCGTCCCCGGCTGCTGCACAGCAATGCAAGCGCCATAGCATTACCCGTGTGGCCAATCGTGCTCTCCCTGTGCCCAGCCTGCCTTCCCTGTCCCTCCTCCCCTTCTGTCACAGAGCCGAGCCTGAGTCTGGCTTGGGCTGCTCTGGGGCCGCTTTGCCCCCTGGCTGTCCCAGCTCCTCGGTGCCCTGTGGCTCCTCCCTCCACCTGCTGCTCCCCCCTCGGTATTTAAAGATTGCCCCTTGATCCTAACGGTTCTGCACAACTCCCTGCTAGGATCCCTGGCCCAGAACAATCTCCTCCCTTCCCCAGGCGCTCTTGGTCTCGTGGCATCGCCCTGGCCCCGTGTCCCCCACGCCCCTCCTGCACTAATCCCAGGCCGGCGCCTTGCTGTTCTGCATGTACCTGTTCTCAACCAGCTCTGGCTGCCAGGGGCTTCACCCTGGGCTGGAGGGGGGAGCCTGTGCCACCCGCTCCCCCTCAGCACAGCATCCGGCTCTGGGGGCCCAGGTGGCTGGGCAGAAGGGGCAGGCAGACCGAGAGCCTTGCCCGGCCTCCCCTTCCCTGTGGCCCTGCCCTGTGTAGAGGATACAGCAGCTTTCTCTGTTCTTATCTCCGTGCGCTAGCGTGTCTTCTTAAAAAACAAAAACGGAAAAAAAAATAATAAATAATAATCTGGTGTTTGTATATAGTTCTTTAGAAAGACCTTGTTTTGCTTTTTGTGTTTAATCACTTGACCTATAATAAGAGGAACTGAAAATGCTGTATCAAGGACGTACAAGCTGTGCCTTTCAAATAAAGAAATAAGAAGGTTGGTTAAAACCATGACTTGCTGCCGCTTTCTTGCTGCTTTTGGGATGACTTTAAAATACTTCCCTGTCTCCTGTCCCTTCAGATGGGGGAATCGGTTGGGGAGAACAGGGAGTTTTCCTGGTTCACCTGTGCTGTGGGAGGTGTCTGGAGGTGCAGGCCTCCTTCCTTCAGGTGGTAGCATATCCCAGATTATTTCTTTCTTGTTGGATGTGCTGCTCTCCCCCTCTTTAGGTTTCTCTGGGAGCCAGGACAAGCAGGGTTAACATTCACACCTCTGGCTGCTCTCCCACTCTTGTAGGGGCTGGTGGAATGGGGCTGTCCCTGTGGCCTTTGTGGCTCTGGGACACCCCTGCAGCGGTGGGGGCTGTGCCACAGCTGAAATCTGCTGGAACCAGGGCCAAGAGGATGCCTGGGCAAAGCCAGAACAAACGAGCTCAAGGTGAAAGTGGTGGGTGGTGGAAAGGGAACAGGAGACTCTCCAGAAGAAAAGCAAGGAGCGAAGTGCCCCCGAGGTCTATCAGCTCTGTGCTGGTTTGGTAACACATGTGGAGGTCCCTGCGGGCTGCCACAGCTCTGCTCTGTGTGTGCATAATTCATTTTTCCTGTGGGCACAGAGGATAAGCTACTTCTGTGGCTCTCAGGCCCCTCTGGAAAATCCGGCCTGCGTTGCCCTGGGGCTGAGATTGCTGTAATGGAATTGGCTCTCGATAATTAGAGCTGTCCTCTGGCTTCAGAGCCTGCTCCACCCTGATAACATCTTCCCCTCGGTATCTCTTAGGCCAGTTGGAGTGGGAAAATTTCCTTTCTCTAGGGAGGAAGCCGTGCTGGGGGAGTCCTGGTGCAGCCAGCACTGAAGTGTGGAAGGGGCTGGTGGCTCACAGAGCCTGTGGGCAGCACCAGGGCTTGACAATGCTCCTGTTATCTGTCTGGTCAGTCTAATCTGGGCTGGGCATGGCTGGGGCAGGGTGCCCAGTGCAGGCTTGCAAGAGCTAGGGGTTTGTGCAGGAGTGGTGGCCACTGAACTCTGGCTGGTGGCTCAGGCTCTGCAGGGGGTCTTGGTCCTGACCCCTCCAAACCAAGTACGGGGGGCAGACCTGGAATGCAGAGCAGCCATGTGCCAGGGGCTGGCCTGGCCCCAGTACCCCTGGGGGGCTGCAGACCCATCCAGCCCCAGCACTGCCTGTGCCCAGCACTTTCGAGCTGCTGGAACTCTGCCGACCCCACCCCATGGTCCTGCAGCTGCTCTGGGGGGTCTCTGCTGCTGCAAGGGGCAGCTGCTGAAGCCATCCTTGCCCTGGCAGTGCCACAGAACCTGCCAGGAGCTTCCCCAGGGCTCTCACTGCGAGGTCACCAGCTCAGATTCATCCCCAGGGGTTACCCCTGATGGATATGCAAGGGAGGAGGATTTAGGAGAAACTGTTCAGGGCTGCTTTCAGGAACAGAGGTCCCTCTTGTTGGAGCTAATCAGCGGCCTCGGTTCAGTGGGCAAGGGGGTTGGACAAACCACGAGGCCACTGGGGCTGGGGAGCTGCTCTGCCCAGGGCTGTGGGGATCTCCTTGCTCCCTGTGGGAGACTAACTCTCTGTTAAAGAACAAAGTGAGAACTTCTGATCTCCAAATCCCCTGCACCTTCCAGCAGATGCTGAGCTGAACCTTGTGCTCCACTCCTATGGAATGGGAATGTTCCATTCCCAAAGCATTTCTCTGCAAGCTGGGGGGCACCCTGATATCCCATCCTACTGAGGAGCAGTGTTCCTTGTGCTTCCAGCCTGGCTCTGTTTGCCACTCTCCAAAGGGAGTGATTTCATAGGGTACCTTCCCAGATTTGGGCTCAATCTTTAACTGCATAACAAGATCTGCAAATCTAATCCACACCAACAGCGAAGAAAAGGGTTAAAAATACCTCCCAGTAGCTGCAGACTTGAGGAAACAGCTTCTCTCCTTCCAAACAGGGCTTGTAACCTCTCAGAAGGCAGGAGCCCCTCCAGAACAGCTCAGCACTCACAAGGACACAGCTGACAAGGGGCCCCCAAAGCTGCTCAGGGATGATTTGAGCCTGGCTCCTGGCAGAGAAGCCTTTTCTCCTCATGTTCCAGAGGCTGTGGTGCCAGAGTGGGACAAGGATACAGGTTGATGGTGTGAGAACCAGCTCTGCTGCCCCAGGACCCTTGGGAAAACAGCCCTGACTCATAAAGGGTGGGTAGAGAGAGAGATCCAGTGATAGCCACTGCCCTGCTGCCCACAGAGGCTGTGGTGGACACAGGGGGCAGGGGCAGGACCCCATCTGGCAGTGCCCCATGTCCTGACATGGATCCCTGCTCACAGCTGCCAGGAGTTTGACACAACTCTGCTGTCTCCCATCTCCTCTCTTCCACTTTCCTGTTACTGGAGGGTCAAACCCCAGCCTCCTTCCTCCTCCATGCACTGAACAGGTGGCAGTTTTTCACCTGTTTGGGTCCATCTCCTTCGGATCCTTCCCGCAGGACAGAACCCCCAGGCTCTCATTCCCTGTGGGAGTCGGAGTCGCTGCTGCCACATCCCCCTGTGGCTCCCACCCTCCTCATTTTCCAGCACAGCTCTGCCTGGAACAATGGCACAGCCTGAGCGCCAGGAGCGGTGCTGGAGCAGGGCTTCCTTCCCAACCCACCGCTAATGCAGGAACGCCGAGCTCTTCCTGGCTGCAGCGAGCACCAGATAAAAGCTAAAGGAGGCATCAATAATTAAAAACCACTCAGAGCTGGTAAGTGCAAACAGGAGCCAACACACAGATCGAAGGCAGAGACCAGAGTCTGGCAGCTGCTGGGTTGCTCTGAGGGCTCCCACTCCTCTTTTGCAGTCCCTCGAACCAGGGACACCTGGAGGGGACACCTGTCCCCAGGGGCTCTGGGGACGTGTGGCTTTGGAGAGTGGACACCAGTACTGGGGGTTTGGGGATGGGGAGTTGCAGTTTGGAGCTGGAAGTGTAGCTCAGGGAACTGGGGAACCTTGATTTCCAGTGCAGCTTTGGCTTAGATCTCGCTGGTTTGCTGCCAGATCCTTTCCTCAGTTCCCCTTCCCATCTCATGTTCATTCCAGGACTGACTCCAGCCAGGATGAGGTCCCTGTTTGTGCCAGCTGCCCTGGGAAATTCTCATTGTCTGAGGATGCCAGGAACTCCTCTCTGCTGAGTTCAGGCCTCCTCATTCGAGTAGGCAAGCGAGCAGCTGAAAATTAGGATGGTTTGGTGAGCCACAGCCACCCTCGGTGTCTCTGCAAAACGTGGTGGGCTCTGCCCTTGACCATCCACCCTGGAGATGTGCTGGACACAGGAGGCTGTGTGGGAACAACCACGGCTCGGAGCAGGACAGAGCTGGGGCTGCCCTTCCTGTCCTGTGTCCCCTATCCCAGGCTGGCCTTCAGGGAGGGAGCTGAAAGGTAAAAATCCCTGGGGTAATTCCAGCAGTAGCAACCTCTTCTGCTGGGATCCAGTTTCAAATGGAGCTCCTGGGTGTCCCAAAGCCTGGATTGGTTTGATTTCTCTGCTGCTGATAAACAAAGGGCTGTTCAGAGCATTTGCCTCTTGATCCCAGCACGGATTTCAAACGCCCTCATCCTTTGGGGCTCTTCCAAGCCCTGCCACCACCAGGCACGAGTGTGTGGCTGCTGCAGGGGGTGGCTGAGCATCCTGCAGTGGTGACGACCAGGTCCTCACACCTGGGGCAGCAGCAGGACCATCTCCTCTTGCTACTGGGGGTGCCAAGGGTTAACCGCCGTTGTTTTCTCCCATCCAAACACAAATTAATCTCTGGGTTACAGCCTGTGCTGCTCCAGGGCTCATGTCAATCACTGATGGAGGCTGATCAAGACACGTGTGACACCCATCACTCCAGAGCTGCCTGCTCCAGGTTTACCTGTGTCACTCTCCTGAGACAGGGGAGCACAGAGACTGCCTAAGGAAAAACTGGCAATTTTCAGAAAGGAGTTTTGAAAAATGCTGCAAAACATCTCCTCAATCCTTCCCTTGAAACACGATCTGAAATATTTCCAGCCTTTGAAAATATACTTTCCTTTAAAAAAACCCCAACTCTTCCAATAAGGCAACACACACACCCACACAAACACACAAAATCTTTAAAAATTTACATTTGGATTAAAATATGCAGATATATGTGCAGATATACGATGTACACACAAAGAACATCGATGTGCCTGCATAGAAAGAAGGGTTTTGGACATTTTGAAGCTGGTGTCCATCACTGCCTGCCCAGTGAACACCTGTGGCCATGGAAAGGGGCCTGGGTTGGCTCCTTGCTTGGGACTGACACGGTCTGGGGTCACTGGCGAATGAACCCCCAATTCTGACTGGGGAGGAGAGACAGGAACACCAGGGGATGAATGGAATGGGGGCAAGAAGAGGGAGAGCCTCCAGTGCCCAGCACCTCGTCCCTGCCCTGGCCGCTGCCAGCATGCAGCACGTAAATAACACAATGAATAAAAGATTAGGATGAAATGTGAGGCATTAAATATTTAACCTTGTGCCTGCCTGTACAGTGCCCAGGTACAGCTGGATCCTGCAATATTTAAAGGTTGTTCCTCACTCGCTTTTACCACCCCCGAGTGCCGTGACTCCACAGCAGCCGCAGCTGGAGGGGTCGCGGGGACAGGGAAGGGACCCTTGGTGGGGTCCCCTCCGCGGTACAGCCGAGAGTGCCTCGGCCTGAGCAGCCCCACGGAGCCCGAGCCCAGCGGCTCCAGCTCCGCCCGGCCCGGGGCCCTCCCGCCTCAGCCGCCGCCGCTCCGCCGCCCCACGTTACTTTGAGTGGCAGCCGGCGGCAGCCGCAAGGCCTCGTGGGCCGCGCAGTCTGCCTGCCTGGGCCGCCCGCAGCAGGAGCCCCGTTCGTTCCCGGCGCTGGGCCGGGCCCCACGGCAGAGCCGGGCCGGGCCGCCCCCCGGGCCCGTGGCGGCGGCAGGGATGGGACAGACCGCACCCGAGCGCCGCCGCCGCCGCGAGGGCGTAACGAAGAGCTGCCTACAACTCCCAGCGTGCCCCGCGCCACCTCCCTGGGGGCTCCGGCCGCCCGCTCACTTTTTATTGGCCGTCCCGCTCTCAAACGTCACGAGCCCATGTGGGAACCGCGCAGGGCGATTGGCCGGCGCTCCCGTAGCGGCAGCCAATGGCCGGTGCGAGCGCCGCCGCTGCGGGCTGTGGGGCCGGTTAAGGTGGAGCGGGCGAAGGGGACAGGATGGGGAAGCTCCGCTGTGCCCCACCCCTGCCGGCGGGGCTGCCCCGGGCACACCAAGGGCTGGTCCCGACGGACCCCAGCCCGTCCGGTGCCCGGGCTGACGGTGCACCGGGACTCGTTGCCCTCGCTGTCTCCGGCTCGGCAGGCGCTGTCCTGTTGCACTCGTTTGTGATGTCCGCCCCCGCGCGCTGCCCCGCCGGGGGCCGGTGTCGCGTCCGCCCACTGCCTCGGGAGCGGTGGCAGCGCCCGGCATCGCTCCCCGGGGACCGGGCTGCCCCAGGGACGGGGGAAGCTGCGGGCCGAGTGGGACCGCGCTGGGGGACGCGCGCGTAGCTGAGCCCGGGGCGGCAGAAGCGCCCGGTGAGCCCCGGGCCGGGGCAGCCCTGCGGGCAGGCGCCTCCCGAGCTGCTCCGTTCGGGCCTGGAGCGGTGGCTCCAGGGCCGGCGCATTCCCCGAGCTCCCCTTGGTCTCCGGCACCGCCGTGCGAGCGCGGGGCCGCCAGGGTCACGAGGCCGGCGCGGGAGCTCCGGTGCCGCGCTCGCGTTGTCCCGAGCCCCGCGGGGACGCGCCTCCTTAAGCGGGCGCGGGCGGCCGGGGCGCGCGGGGCCGGGCGGCCGCTCCCCCCCACCGGGGCCGCCCCAGCCCCGCCCCGGCCCCGCCGGGGGCGAGCGGAGACCCCGGGAGCGCCGCCCGCGCCCCGGCGGAGCCGCTCGGCGACACCCCGGATCCCCGCCGAGCCCAGGCACCCCCGTGCCCTGGCGGGGGCAGCCCCCGAGGGAGGGGCGGGCAGCAGCGCCCGGGGAGCGGGGGGGCCGGGCCGGCCGCCCGGGAGCTCAGGATGTTCCCGCAGGGACGGCACCCGGTAAGTGCCGCGGGGGCGGCGGGGCCGGGCCGGGCCGTGCCGGGGCGCCGAGCCGCAGCCTCCAGCCGGGCTGTCTCTCCGCAGCCCCCGCTCCAGCCCGGGCAGCCCTTCAAGTTCTCGGTGCTGGAGATCTGCGACCGCATCAAGGAGGAATTTCAGTTCCTGCAGGCGCAGTACCACAGGTGGGGCGGGGGGTGACAGGGCTGGGGGCAGAGGTGTGATGGGACAAGGGAGGCTGGAGCGCTGGAACAGGGGGGAAAGTGGGGAAAGAGGTGGTGGAGAAAAGGCGCCTGGGGAAGGGAGCGCCTGCGGAGGAAGGGGAGAGGGGTTTGGGCTGAGGGGCAGCGTGAAACCATCAGCTGGGGAGCCAGGTCTTGAGCGGGGGTCCCAAGGGGAAGATCAGCCGCGTTTTCTCTGGCTGAGCGAGGTGTAGGGGCAGGGAGGGGACAGAGCTCTTGGTGGGTGCCACAGGTGTGTGCACAGCGGGTGCCCCAGGGAGGGCAGGCAGGAGATGTGCTGAGCTTGCCGAGGTCCCAGGGATGGGGACGGGCGGGATGGGGCAGGAGCCGAATGGAAGCCCTGGCTCCCCTTTGCAGCCTGAAGCTGGAATGCGAGAAGCTGGTGAGCGAGAAGACCGAGATGCAGAGACATTATGTCATGGTGAGCTGCCCCTATCGTGTCCCCCTGCCTCCCATGAAGGGCTGTCCCCCTGGGCTGCTGCCCTCTGACAGATCTGGGTGCTGGGGCTCCTCTCAGCCACTCGCCCAAAGGAGCCACTGCCCTGCCCTGTGCTGACCTTGGGGCTGGGGAGATGTGAGGGAGGAAGGAGTTAATCACCATTTCTAGTAGCGCTGGCTCTTTTGCTGCTGTCTCGGTGCTCAGTGCTGCTTGAGCCTGGGAATCCTGCCATAGATTTGGTCTTTTTTTTGTGTGTGTGTGTGTGTTTTGGTTTTGTTTTTTTTCACCTTTTTCTATCTGGCCTTGTAAGTCAGCTCCCCACTCCTCCCTCTCTCTCTCCCGATGGGTGGGTATTTAAGAACTGATTCTCCAGGGCTCGTGGTTTGGGTGGAAGGGGAAGGAGCAGGGCAGGAGCCCTCCAGAGTTGTCAATGAGGGGTTAACAGGCCCCAAGACAGACTGACCTGGGCACCAGCCAGAGCCTGCCACGACAGGGGAGCTACTGGGAGGAAGGAAAGAGGATGGGGACAGCAGAGCAGTTCCTTCTCCTTCAGCGTCTGACCTTACTGGCCCCTCTGGGGAAAGTAGGGGAACCCAAGTGACACCATCCAAGGGGCAAAAAGATGAGAACGTGGGCAAACCCCATCCAGGGGGTGAATACAGCCCTGTCTGTGAGGCCAGGGTGTTGATACTGCAGGGCATGTTCCTCTCACCCATCAGCTGGGATCCCTCCCCGCATCCTGGAGGCTCAGGGATTTCCAGAAGTGGATTGCTACCTGTGGAATTGGCTTTGCTGGAGGAAAGCAGGTCCCCGGGTGTGAGGGATTGGGGTCAGCACCCCTGGCAGAGTCACTGGTGGCTGCTGGAGGGTGTAAATTGTTGTCATCTTTGCTCTGCACAGGCTGAGCGGGTGGGCAACTGTGCCAGGGTGCGAAAACAGGTTCTAAGTGGGGTGGGACGAGCCAGGACAGGACCTGGGGGGCAGCAGGACTGGCTTCCCCTGGCTTAAACAAGTGCAGAAATTGCAGGTGTTAGCAGCCTGTGGCTGCTCCCTACCTTGTCCCAAGCTCCTGGCACAGCATCCCAGCCATTCCTTGTGGGCTGGAGCTAGCCAAACCCCGGGCTGGTCCTGGGCCGGCTGCTCTAACCAGGCTGTGTTGTGGTTTTTCCTCTCAGTACTACGAGATGTCCTATGGCCTGAACATTGAAATGCACAAGCAGGTAAGTGCAATGGGGGCTGGGCCAGCAGCAGGGGAGGGTGGGGGAAGAGGCCAAGGTTGGAGACTTTGTTGGAAAATGATCTCCCTCGAGCCCGTGGAGCTCTGATGGCATGGGAGGTGTGACAAGTCTGTGCCAGGGACGGGCTTGCCAAGGGATCCAGCAGTTGTCAGGATGTGTTATTGAGTTCCCCATCCCAAAGACAAACTGCTCAGAGCCCTGCTGTGAGCCCTGGTGCCTCCCTGCAGCGCTTCCCTGGGGCCCCACTTGAAGGAGGGATGTGGAGGAAACAGCAGGAGCTAGAGCCCAGAGGCAAATGGATTGTCTTTCTTTTCTTTTTTTCTTAATCCCCTTTTCCTTTCCCAAAGCCAGAGGAGTGTTTTCACCCTTCCCTGGTTCCCCTTTTGTTCCAGCGTTAATTTGCTTTCCCTCTTCAGATTTATCAATCTAGTCATCATGGGCTCTCTGCCAGGGAAATTAGTTTGGACCAATGCCTGACAAAGTGGCAAGTCAACTGCCATATCCCTCCAGCTGGCTCAGCCCCTCCGAGTTTGCTCCTTTTGTTAGCAGGGAGCGTGGTGGAGACCACGAGCACATTCCTGCCACCCTTGCATGCTCCAAGATCCAGTGGGACTGGGAGCCAGGGGTACCCCAAGCCAAGTCGGGCCAGGGACTGCTCATGAGGTGATAGAGGTGGTGGCCAAGTGGTTGAGAAGTGTGAGCCTGGGCAGGAGAGGGCTGGAGGAGGGGGTCTCTGGCTCTGTGGGCATGGTGGCAGTGGCTGAGAGAGCAGCAGGGACCTGCAGGTGAGCACAGGGTGCTGGTGGGTGTGGGGCACAGCAGCCTCTGAGCACAGCAGGTAAATGTTCCCTTTGTTCTCCCTTGGCTCCGAGCCTGGTGTGACCTCTGCAACACCGGCAGGGATTGTCAGAAACCTGAGCTGATAAAACCCTTCAGAGCAGCCAGTCCCAGGGTGGATTTACGGGGGGGTGGGAATCCAGTTTTCCCCAGGAGATGTGGGTTTTCTCTTGGAGAGTCTGGGCTGGAAGTCGCAGCCCCTTTCCTCGGAAGTGCCGCTCACACTGGTGGGAACGCAGCCCAGCTGTGGGTTTGTCTGCAACCACAGAGCCTCTCCTCAGAGGATGCACTGGGTTTTCTGCTTTCCCTTGTGGGCAGGGGCAGGTCTGGGGGTGCTTTGTGCCTCTGAAGGAGCAGAGGGAGCTGTCCCAGGGCTTGATGGGGATGGGAGTGGAGTGCCTGCTCCGGGTCAGGGCTGGTACAAACAGCAGAGCCTTGGGGAATTTGCTGGTGCGATGCCAAGGGGGCTGAATCTGTGCAGTTCTGCATCCTGGTTGGTCTGCCCCGGCTTTGAGTTGGATGTTTGGGAAGGGAAGGCACAGGGAGGGCTCGCTGCCAGCGCCTGTGGCTCGGCTCCCCTCCATCCCTGCCCGCTGGCCACGGCAGCCCGCAGAGCCAGGATGGGTTTGGGCTGAGCAAAGCCAGCTGGGCTGCGAAAGGACTGACAGCTTGGAGCTTGCCTTGGCCTGGGGCCACGGAGGGATTTAGACGTGGGTTCCCTCCCATGTGCCTGGCAGCCTAAGGGGGTCCAGCAGCCCTGGGCAGAGCCCTCCCTTGGCAGCAGCTCGGGAAATCCCAGCAGGGATGCAGAGGCAGCAGGAGAATTTCCGCCAAGAGGGCGTGGGTGGGGAGAGTTTAACTCCTCCGCCAAGGCTGAGTGTTTGCAGGATGCTTGGCTGCTGCAGGGGGGGCAGGATGGGGCTCAGAACCCTCCATCTCTGGTGATACCTGCTGATACCTGCTTCCTCTTTCAGGCAGAGATTGTCAAGAGGCTGAGTGCCATTTGTGCCCAGATTATTCCCTTCCTGACGCAGGAGGTGAGGAGGAGGCGTGAGGGGGTGCATCAGATTGCTCTGGCTTCTTGGGAAGGACGAATCAAAGTCCAACCTGAGCAGCAGGAGGTTTGGGGGAAGAAAACCTCCATGCCTGGGCTGGAGGGGTGGGAGAAGGGGCTGTGCAGGGCTGGGTGGGGCGATGTGGAGCCAAGTGCTCCCTCCAGCCAGGAGCACGGTGTGACCACCCCCGTGCTCTTCCTCCCCAGCACCAGCAGCAGGTCCTGCAGGCAGTGGAACGGGCCAAGCAGGTGACCATGGGGGAGCTCAACAGCATCGTCGGGGTGAGTTGCACTGCCTGGATGTGGGCAAAGACTCTTTCCTGCCTGGGGGCCCTGCAGTGATGAGGGAGGTCAGGGTTTTTACTATTGTGGTACACCCATTGTGGTGAAGGGATTTGCCACGGTGTGCTGGAGGCGTTGGATGCCCTCTGGGAGGGCAGAGCAGGGCAGAGCCCTGGCTTGGGCTCTGCCGTGTGCTGGGGTCGTGTCTGCAGCAGGGAGGGACTCGCGGGTGGAAGGAGAAAAACAAAGTTCAGAGAGAGAATAAAAGAGGCTGTGCTGTGCTGAGCCTGCTGACCCCTCGGAGCCCGGGCAGCCCTCGGGGGGCAGGGGCAGGGGTGTGACCCAGCCTGCGCAGCCCCGACAGCTCCGCTGCCCCCTCCTCGTCCCTGTCTCATCCCATCGAGCTTCGCATCGCAGCCCGCGGGGAGGGGAGGGCCCGGGCATGGCTGCGGCTGCCTCCTCCACATCCAGGACCATTTGCTCTTTCTCTTTCAGCAGCAGCAGCTTCAGCACCTCTCCCACCACGCATCCCCCCTCCCGCTGACACCCCACCCCTCCAGCATGCAGCCCTCTAGCCTGAGCGGGGCCAGCGGCACCTCGGGGCTCCTGGCCCTCTCGGGGGCACTGATGGCACAGGCTCAGCTGGCCACCAAGGAGGACAAAGTGGCCCAGGATGGGGAGAACAGAGGTAAGGGGAAGAAGCACAGCTGGGTTAACCCTTTAAAGGCTGGCTGAGCCAGTGCTGGGCAGCGTGTGCAGGGATCCTGCTGCTTGCTCTGCCTCTTTCTTGAGGCTCCTGGCTGCTGCATCCCCGGGGATGGCAAATCCAGCTCATGAAATGCCTGCAGCCCCAGGAGGCTGGCTCTATTTCTGACCTGGGAACTGCTGCTCTGCAGTGATGCTGTGTGTGCAGCCCTGGCTCTGGGCAAGGGTTTGTGCACACACACAGGTCTCCCTGCTCCCCTTGGTGTTTCCAGTGCGTGAGGGTCCCCTCCTCCATTTGCTCCCACCGCAAAGAAATCCTTTCTTTTTACACCGTAGTTCACACCAATTAAAGATCTGATACTTAAAGATGAGACTTTTAGGGAAAATACTGTAGCAAGCCCCTGGTAGAAACTGTGACAGGCACAGGCCTGGGGCAAGGAATTTAGAAAGCAGAGCCTCATTGCGTGTGTTGTGCTGTGTAAATTACACTAATTCCTAGTCCATATGGGTGCCTCCTCCTGTCAGGATCACCGAGTGCCTTACAAACATCATCAATATTTAATCATCGTTAAATCAGTGCTCTGAATGCTGCTGGCAGGCCTGGGCCAAATTAGTAACGCTGCCCAGCTTTACTCGTGGCCTGTTGCTGCACAAAGGAGAAGCTGCTCTGAGCTCAAGTCACCTTTTCAGAGCACAGGCATGGAGTGGTTGTGCTGAGAGGAGGCAGGGACAAGGAGAGAGGCTCTGGGCAGCTCTGTGGGCTGGAAACAGGCAGCCAAATTTAGCAGGAGTGATGTTTCCCTGCAGACTCCCCTGGGGAAGATGCTGACTGAAAAGCACTTGGGTCAGGACCCAAGAGTAGCAGCAGAGCCGGGCACTGGGTGGGGTTTGCTGCAGGTTCTCATGGTCTGGTTTGGCCTGTAAGATTTCAAGGTGGTGAAAAGAGCAGCAGGAAACTGTCGGTGGCAGCTCTGCCCCCCTGCACACAGCTGTCTGCAGTTCAAATCCTGTCCGTGTTTCTTTAAGGATGGCTTCTACAAAGGAGGAAAACAAAGTCCAGAGAGAGAATAAAAGCAGGCTGTGCTGTGCTGTGCTGAGCCTGCTTAACCCTCAGAGCCCGGGCAGCCCGTGCCTCCAGCCAGAACTTCTCTCAGCCTGGGTGTTTGGCCGTGGTGAAGGCCATTCCTTATGTGAAAAAAAAAAAAAAGGGTTTGAAATGCTCCATCTGTCCAGGGTTAATCCTCAGTGCTCTGCCATAGTTAGGCAGAGCTGGTGTGAGTCAAGCTGAGCCAAGGGTGCAGGGCTGATGGCAGGCATCTGGTCCCACTCCAGACCACGGCCTTGGAGCAGCGCCTACAAGAATCCCTCAGCTTCCCATCCCTGCCTGCCTCTTTTTGCCAGCAGGGACCTGGACTCGTTCTCTCCAAATGCTGGTGGATCTTTAGGAGCAAAAATGAGCCAGGGAAGGTTGCTGAACCCCAGCCCACAACCCTGTGCTTGTATTTGCAGTAAATGCCTGGCACTTCTTCCAGGGCTCAGGGGAATGGACCTGCTTTGCTGTGCATGTACAAAAACCTCAGAGAGTTTCCAAGCAGGGCTTTTAGGCATGGCTTCCTAAGGAAATAGGATGGGTGTGATTCAGGGGATCTCAGCTGGCCGGCCAGCTCGTCCCCTCCTGGTGGCTTTGGACCTGTTGTCATGTCTAGGGAAGAGATTCCTAAGCTGGGATAATTCCTTGGAAGGAGGTAGGTGGACAGAGATTCCCCTGCTTCCCTGAGGAGCAGCAAGGTGCTGACCTCCCATTAGACAACAGAGAATCTACACTGCAGGTGGGCAAATTGGGAGATCAGGTGTGATTTGTTTGTTTGTTTGTTTTCTAAACCTGTGTCCTGCTGTTTCCTGCCTTGCCTTGCTGTGCTCCCCTCTCCTTCCTGCCTGGGTATGTGGGGCACAGGCTTGGCATTAACAACCTCTTCCTGTCTTCCCCTCTGCTCTGACATGGACCTGGGATCCTCTCCCTGCTGGTTCCAGAACACACCCCAAGCCAGGTAAGTTGTGACAGGCAAGTGGCCCTGATGGCATCTCCAGTGTGCTCCGAGCTGGCCACTGGCTCCTGGGAGGGGAGGGGGCTGCTGGATGAGCTTTGCTGGCCTGGGTGGGCTGTGTTTGTATCAGGGTTTTGTAACTGAATGTTCTGGGCCACCTCAATTCAGTCTTTACTGATGCAAGGAGCTAAAGATCAAGGGCTGCTCCCAAAATAACCAGCTCTGTCCTTTTCAAGGAGTTTCCAGTTTAGGAATCATTCTGAACAGGTCTCAGAGCTCTCAGCCCCTCTGCAGTCCTTGGCTGCCCCCTCCCTCTTAGGATCCTCCCAGAACCAGAGCTGTGAAAGGAAGGGTTAATGATCTCCACTGGGGAACTGTAGGCATTAATCTTGGGCTTGCACGGTGGGAGAGGAGGAAGCAGAGGAGGTGTCTGTGATGCCATGACTGCCCAGGCACCTCCTGCAGAGATGGCCTGGGGGACAGGGATGGCCTTTTCTGCTGCCTGGTGCTGTGCCAGAGCTGCTGATCTGACTGTGCTGGGAGCCCCGGGATGGGGCATCTCCATCCCTCTCTGGCTGCATTGTCACGAGTGTGGGGATGCCAGGGGATGTGTGACACCCCTGCAGCTGCCAGCAGCATCTGGGGGAGGGCTCTTCTTCCTGCTTGGCCCCATTCTGCTTCCCAACACTCAGGGCAGGGGTTGAGGTGAAGTAAACACTGCTCCCGTGGGGATTTTCTGCTCCACCCTGGCTCGTTGTCTCTGCAGGGGTGGATCCCTCTCTGGTAGTGCTGGGGATGTTCTTCGCTTGGCTTTGGGGTTTTGGGGTCCTTCCACCAGCCAGGGAGATGCTTTGCCAGGATGGAGGTGGTCATGGAGCAGGGCCTGACGCTACTGAGAGGTGAGGGGTGTCTGTCTGGCCTCAGGGTGGCTCACACACCTTTCTGTCCCTCTCTGCCTCAGAGTGTTTCGTCCTCCCCTGCCGAGAGCCCGCAGGATGAGGAGCGGACGGGGCTGAAGCGGAAGCGGGAGGAGAAGGAGCTGCCTGGGCATTCTGTGAGTGCACCAAGGGCTGTGCCTGGGCGGGACGTGCCTGGGGAGCCCCGTGCCAGCCCTACTGCAGAGGGCTGGGGTCCTGAGAGCAAGGACAAACCAAAGGAGGAGCACCAGGGAGGCTCCCCAGCCTGAGGTCTGGGTCGCTGCCAGCAGGACGTGGTTGGTGTTGGTCCATGGAGGGATGTACAGGAGGAAATGGGTTCCTCTGCTGTCTGGGATCCTGGGGCAGAACACAGAGCCTGGTCCAGCATTTCCCTGTCCTGACTGAGCCCTTCTGGATTTCTCCCTCCTTGCAGGACAGCGATGGGGACAAGAGTGACTACAACCTGGTGGTGGATGAGGTAAGCCCTTGGAGCCTGGCAAGGTGTCCTGCTCAAGCTGCAGTTGTTAGGTTTAGGACTCTGGTTCCCCACCTTTGGGTTCTTTGGTGCTGGGCAGCAGTGGCCAGCCAGGACACGTGCCAGCCCTGCTCCAGTGCATTGTGCCAGCCAAGACTGATTCCACTCCCACTGCTCTGGGAAGCTGTGCCAGCCAGGACTGAGCTTTGCCAGCCACAGGCTTGGCTCTGCTTCACAATCCCCTTTCAGCCCCTCTGCTGCAGCATCCCATGTAGGGAGGCTGATAAGCTGGGATGAGAGCTCCATGGAGCTGGGCTTGCTGCTGGCAGCTCCTGTGAGTGGAGATGGCAGGAGCCCCATGGCACAGCCTGGCCCTGCCAGCCCCAGACCTCGAGCCCATGTCCTGCCCTGCCTGACCCTCGAGCAGTCTCGATTTTAACACCCCCCCAGTGCAGGGGGTTCATTGAATTCCAGTCTTTTGCAATGGAACTGCCACAGGCTTCTGGTACAACCTGAGGCACACGTGACAGAACTTGATCCCAGCCAGCAATATTCTTGGTGGAGAAGATGCTTTTGGGGACATACTTGTTCCTTTTCTAGAAGACAGAGGGGAGAGAAAGACATGAAGTCTTTTGTACTTGTGCTACTTCTTAAGAAAACACAAGCCCTGAAAGGAAGATCAGCAGGAATTTGTGCAGAAAATGACACTTATGAAAGCTACTCATTGTGGTGATAAAAAGTCACAGACCTGGTTGAATGGTTATAGGAGTGCAAGAGCTGAGGGCTGGCCTTGCCTCTGAAATGGCAGCCTTGGCTCAGCTCCTTCTGTGTGCTGATCTCCATCCCTCCTTGTGAAGGCATCCGTGGCCACCAGTGTCCTTTGAACCTGCTGTCACCTCTCATTTTGCTCAAAGAGAAAAATCGAGGCCGTTTCTCATCCAGGAGAGCAGAACGGAGGCCTCTGAGCGGATGCTCCTCATTCAAGCCAAGGGGACTGATGGTGGTCCTGGGTGGCTCCCCAGGGTCCCTGCCATGCCTGCCCTCCTACCTAGAGGCGTTCCTGTTTCTCACAGAGCGATTTTACCCCCAGGACCCGCCCTCGGAGCCCGGTAGCCCTGGCCGCTCGCCCAGTCGCCGCCGGGAGCTGCCCCAGAGCCCCGCGTCCATCGGCTCCAGCGGGAGCGCCACGCCCCTGCAGCCCAAGGAGCAGAGCCCGGTGAGGAGCCCCTGGGCAGCCTGGGCTGGGGTGGCATGTGGGGCCAGCAGCACGGCCCTGAATCTCTTTCTGTGGCCAGTCTGCTGCAGAAATGCCCGTGGTTTGTACCCACTGCCACCCCCTACCCTGGGGGCAGAGATCCATGCCCTCGAGGTAGGGTAAGTGCTGCTGGGCAGAGGACAGGCTCTGCAGTGTTCTCCACCCGCCTGCCTGCAGAATTCCCCAGAGCTGCTCATAGCAATTGATTTTTCCTTTTTTTTTTTTTTTTTCCCTGTGTTTTTTTTTCCTCCTCCTTCTTCCTTGCCAAGCACCAGTCCAGTGCTCAGATTGAAACATCAGCATGTGGGAAGGGGGAGGGATGTTTCTGCCACTCCTTGGCCTCCCAGCCACCGCAGGGACCAAGTGATAGGTCCCCCCATCTGGGGTCAGGAGCCAGCTGGGGGCTGCGGGCAGCAGCGAGCAGCAGCTCCCCAGCACAATCGGATTAGAGCAGACAAAGCGCCCTGAGCAATCTGCCAGCACAGCACGTAGCTTTTCTCTGTTATTAATTTTTTTTTTTCCTTTGCTGGTGTCGACAAAATCCCCAGACAGAAAAAGCAGAAGAAATAGGAGAGGCAAGGAAAAAAAAAAAAAAAGCAAGGAATGAAATAGCTGTGAGGATTGGAGAGGCCAGTTCATGCCAGGCATCCTCTTGGTCCCAGGCAGGGGATGGGGGTGCCCCCCCATGCAGGAGGAATTTTGCTTGAGGGAGCAGCAGATGTGTCTGTGGGGTTTGTGTTGGTGGGCACTGCAGGGTTGGGGCAGTTTGGGGTGACCTGAAGCTTGCATGGGGCATTTGTACCTGTGGGGAGAGTGGGGATGTGTGAAGGGCAATGGAGAGGAGAGGGGATCAGGCCCTGGATGGCCAATCCCTGTCCAGCTCCATCCAGGAGCTCCTTCTACCCTGCCAGATGTGGAGGCTGCTGGCCCAGCCGTGGGGCTGGGGAGGGCTGGCCTGGGCTCTGCTCCCACTGCTGAAGCTGCTTTTCTTTCCTCTGCTGCACAGACTGACTCTGTGGCCAGTGCTCCCACCTCCAAACCCTCCTCTTCCTCACCACCCCGTGACTCCCTCACGCCTGGCCCCGGGCCCAGCTCGGCCGTCCCACTCCGGCCACCCCCGGCCAAGGCCCCCAGCACCGACACCGTCAGTGAGTGTCCAGGGACAGCACGGGGACAGCTCTGCTGTGACAGCGCCCTGGGGCTGGGGTGGAGGGAGGCAGGATCCTGTCTGCCACCAGCAGAGCTGGCAGGGCCGTTTTGCTCCACAAAATCAGACCTATGGCCAACAGGAGCACCTCTGCCATTGCCACACACCTGGTGGGCTCAGACCTGCCGAGGGTGGTGCTCGGGGTTAGGGCAGGGTTTTTTTTTCTGTTTTTCTCTCACCAGTTGTCATTTCAGTGGGGCTGCATGAAGCTGGGTGCTTCAGGGCTTGGCAGAGGGGGCTGGAGGGGGTGGCTGTGCAGTCACTGGGCGTCCCTCTGCCCTGGGTGACGCTCGCTCGCGCCCGTGGGCCAGGGCCAAGACGCGGGTCTCTCCTCGTGCAGCTCTCCGCAGCCCCCTGAGCTCCTCCAGCCCCTACACGTCCTCCCTGGGGATGCTGCCCCACGCCACCCTCAGCGGGGAGCTCCCAGCCCCTGGTCTCTACATGGGCATCCACCTCTCACCCCAGGTCAGCAGCGCGGTGCTCTACGGCCGCTCCCCCATGGTAAGTCACCGAGGGAGGGGCTGGGTGTGCTGGCTCTGCTGCCTGTCCCCCCTGGGCAACATCTGGGGCTTGAGCCGGGGGGTGCAGCCGTAGGAAGGGCTCCCTGCCAGAGCTGGCTGGGTTGTGAGGCTGCTGGAGGCTTCAGTGCACTCAGAGAAGCCTCTACTGGTTCCACTGGTGTGTAACTCTGGGAACCCATTTTGGCCTTGGTCAATGCATGTGAGGACACAGCGAGCAGGGAGCTTGCATAGAGCCAGGCTGGCCTGGTCCCAGGGTGTGCAGGGAAAGGACTGAGCCCAGCTTTGGTGTCCTCTGCTCCGCTCCTCATGTGCCCTTTGCTCTGTGCAGGTGGCATTTGAGTCGCACCCTCACCTGAGGGCTTCCACCCTCTCCTCTTCACTCTCCACCATCCCTGGAGGGAAGCCGTAAGTGGCTGCACATGCTGGGGCTGCAGGGAGGGTGGGGGCAAGGGGCTGACTGCTGGCAGCATCTCCCTCCCAAGGGCTCGCCCAGGACAGGGCAGGGTTCAGGGGGAGCTCTCTCCAATCCCAAGTCCAGCACAGCCATTTCACTCCTGGCAGCTGGCGGTAACAAGGAGCTGGGTAATTAAAGACCTCGTTAGCAAGAGCACAACCGGCACCTTCCACCTTGGCTTGAGAGAGGTTAACACCTGCCCTCAGGCATCACACGGGTTGTTCAGGCCTCTCTTCTGCTCCCTTCTACTGAACAATCCTTCCATTCCTCTGACTCCAAGCCCTGCTGCCTGTGTTAGACCCGCTGGGACCCGCGTGGCACCGGCCGCTGTCCACGCAGGATTCTGCTCTGCTTCTCACTGCTCTGCTCCCTTGCAGTGCCTACTCCTTCCACGTCAGCGCTGACGGGCAGATGCAGCCGGTGCCTTTCCCCCCCGACGCCCTCATCGGCTCCGGCATCCCCCGGCACGCGCGGCAGCTGCACACCCTGACCCACGGCGAGGTGGTGTGTGCTGTCACCATCAGCAACTCCACACGACACGTCTACACCGGCGGCAAGGGCTGTGTCAAGGTGTGGGACGTGGGGCAGCCGGGCACCAAGACGGCCGTGGCTCAGCTGGACTGCCTGGTGAGGAGCAGGAGGAGGAGCAGAAAAGCCTTTGGGTGTGGTTGACAAGGGGAATGTTCCCCTGTTCCAGTGGAGGGGACACAGGGGCCTTTCAGAAGGAGATGTGTCTCCTGCAAGCCCCCGTGTGCTCATCATCTCCTCCTTGCCTTGCCCTGTTGCCTTGTCCCCCCCATTCAGAACCGTGACAACTACATCCGTTCCTGCAAGCTGCTCCCCGACGGCCGCAGCCTGATCGTGGGGGGGGAGGCCAGCACCCTGTCCATCTGGGACCTGGCAGCCCCCACGCCCCGCATCAAGGCTGAGCTCACCTCCTCTGCCCCCGCCTGCTACGCCCTGGCCATCAGCCCTGATGCCAAAGTCTGCTTCTCCTGCTGCAGCGACGGCAACATCGTGGTGTGGGACCTGCAGAACCAGACGATGGTGAGGTGAGTCTGGTGCAGGGGCTATAGGGCAAGCACAAGGGGAGATGCTGGCTCTTGGGGAGCTGGCCTGCCCTGACATCTGTGCCCTCCTCCTCTCCATCCCCCTCTTTCCCAGGCAGTTTCAAGGCCACACGGACGGTGCCAGCTGCATTGACATCTCTAACTATGGCACCAAGCTGTGGACAGGAGGGCTGGACAACACCGTGCGCTGCTGGGACCTGCGGGAGGGGCGGCAGCTGCAGCAGCACGACTTCAGCTCCCAGGTAGGGCTGGAGCCCTCTGGCTGCACCACGGGGCCAGGTGGGACCTGCTGGGCCACTGTGTGAGCCTGACTGTCCCCTCAGATCTTCTCCTTGGGCTACTGCCCTATGGGAGAGTGGCTGGCGGTGGGGATGGAGAGCAGCAACGTGGAGATCCTGCACGTCACCAAACCCGACAAGTACCAGCTGCACCTCCACGAGAGCTGTGTCCTCTCTCTCAAATTCGCCTCCTGTGGTAGGCAAGGGCTGTTTTTTCTGTCTGGGCTGTGGATAGCCTTAGATTTATCTCTTTGGTTTATTCCCCCATGCTCAGCTCCCATGAATGTAGTCCCAGAACTTGACACCCACTTTGTCTCCTGTCCCAGGGAAGTGGTTTGTGAGCACGGGGAAGGACAACCTGCTCAACGCCTGGAGAGCACCCTATGGAGCCAGCATCTTCCAGGTGGGCTGAGGCATTTGTGCAGGGGGATGATGTTGGCTCCAGGCACCAGCCCTGCTCTCACCTCCTGCCCTCTCACTCACAGTCTAAGGAGTCCTCGTCAGTCCTGAGCTGTGACATCTCTGTCAACGACAAATTCATCGTTACGGGCTCTGGCGACAAGAAGGCCACAGTGTACGAGGTGGTTTACTGACTCCTGTCACCCTCCCTGCTCCATCAGGAAAGGGGACACACCTTGCCCAAAGCCATCAAGGCTCCAGTGCTGCACCTGCCCTCCTACAGCTCTACTTTCCCTCCTCCTCCACTGCTTTCAGACACCAAACCAGCCCCATTCTCCTGCCCCTGTTCCTGCAGAAGGATGCTGGGTGTAGCCTGGCATGGCCTGAGGCTGGGCAAGGGCTAAGCTGGACATCCTGGGCCCTGTCTGTCCCTCAGGCCGGCTGCACAGGGAGCTGGACAAAGCCTGAGAGCGTGCGTCTCTCGAATTACTGCTACTGATTTAATGGCACCCATTTTCTGCTGCAGAAACAGCTGTAAATTATCAGTAAAGAAATGTATTTAACTATGTTTTCAATCCCTTACTAATAAAAAGGAACAAAAGAAGGGCTGGGCTGGTTCTTGGCATGGGTCCTTGCCAGCCAGTGCTGCCAGCTGTGCCAAGGGCTGGGCTCTCAAGGGTGTCCTGGGGCGCTGCTTTTGGCCAGCAGCACAGGGGATGACGCTCCCAGCGTGGCAGAGGTGTGGCTGCTGGCTTGCCATGGCAGCTCCAGCACCACTCTGTGGTGCCTGTGGTGAGCTGTGGCTGGGGGCAGGAGCCCAGAGCAGCTGCCACACCGCAGCCACTGTCATGCTGCTCCCCTGCCAGCCCCGAGGCTCTTGGGACCAGCCCTGCTTGCCCACGGCAGTGCTGGCGGGCGGCCAGACCGATAAGGCAAGCGCTGAGTGCTCACATCTCATTTCCTTCAAAAACCACTTCCTCCAGCGCCGGCCTCTCCCCCGCACACCCCGCGGAGCCCGGGGCTGTTTCACCGGCGGCACCGCAGAGCCGCCACCGAGCTCTGTCCCCACACTGCCGGTCCTGGCTCCTGCTCCCCACCACAGCCAGGGCCAGGGATGGGCTCTGCCCACAGAGGAGCTGCCTCAGACCCACCTCGGCACAGGAAAGGAACAGCAAGCTGTGAGCAAAAGTGACAAAGCTCCTGTCATGGTCTCACCCCTTCTCACCTGGCTCCATTCCACCCCCACAGAGCATCGAGACTACTGCTCAGGACAAGGCACAGCTGCCTTTTTTTGGTTTGTTTTTATTATTAAATACACCCTGGGAGGCACAGAGGGAAGTAAGGCCAGAGCCCATCCACCCTGGCAGGCCCAGAGCCTTAAACAAATAAAAACCCCACAACAAAAAGTTAAAAACAAAAATAAAAAAAGCACCCAAACAAAACCCCTAACAATGCCAGACCTCCCCCCCCATCTCCAACTCCCACAGTCTAGATTTAGAAAGAAACCCACAAAGAACAAAACAAGGAGAAAGTCCCCAGGAAATCCACCCCGAGCAGCAGCCTTGCACGATGCCTGGCCACGGTCCCAGGGCCACCTCCACCCCTCTCCGCTCTCCTCCAGCTGGGATGCCACAGCCACTGGCTGCATGTTCTTTGGGAAGTCAGCAGCAGGGCAGGTAGAGTCCACCTGTCCATCCACATGGACACCTGCCTGTCCTGCAGTTGGCACCTCTGGGGCTCAGTAAATGATCTCGTAAACTGTCGCTTTCTTGTCCCCTGAGCCGGTCACGATGAACTGATCGTCCGTGGAGATGTCACAGCTGAGGACGGAGGAGGTTTCCTTCGACTGGAGAGAACAGAGATAAGCACAAGAGGCAGCCCCAGAGCAAGGTCCCAACCCCCACTCCCTGGGGAGGCTGCAGGGGTGAGTTTATGGGGCTCGTTATTGCTGACACACAATTAGAGCTGGGTTGTACTGGGCAGCCTCACCCCCAGGAACCCCCAACCCTGCTGGCTGCTCACCTGGAAGATGCTGGCTCCGTAGGGCGTCCGCCAGGCGTTGAGCAGGTTGTCCTTCCCTGTGCTCACAAACCACTTCCCTGTGGAGGGACAAAGCAGCCTCACGTCACCAAACCAGACCCAGCAGCTGGATGCCAGCAGCAGATCCTCCCCAGGCTGTGAAACACAGAGAGGCAGCCACATCTCTGCCAACCATGAGCCAAGGGAACACAAAGGAGAGTTTGGCTCCAGCGGCCAGCAGTGCTCCAAGAGGGATGGATACCCCTTCTGTGTCATCCACCAGGGACAGGGCTGGCTACCAGAACAAATGCTTGCCCCCAGTGCAACGAGCCCTGTGACACAGATAGAAGTAGAGGTGGCATCCATGAGGCTCCAGAGGAAGGGGGCCAGGAGAGGTGTGCCTACCGCAGGAGGCGAATTTGAGAGAGAGGACACAGCTCTCGTGGAGGTGCAGCTGGTACTTGTCGGGTTTGGTGACGTGCAGGATCTCCACGTTGCTGCTCTCCATCCCCACCGCCAGCCACTCTCCCATGGGGCAGTAGCCCAGGGAGAAGATCTGAGGGGACAGTCAGGCTCACACAGTGGCCCAGCAGGTCCCACCTGGCCCCGTGGTGCAGCCAGAGGGCTCCAGCCCTACCTGGGAGCTGAAGTCGTGCTGCTGCAGCTGCCGCCCCTCCCGCAGGTCCCAGCAGCGCACGGTGTTGTCCAGCCCTCCTGTCCACAGCTTGGTGCCATCGTTGGAGATGTCAATGCAGCTGGCACCGTCCGTGTGGCCTTGAAACTGCCTGGGAAAGAGGGGGATGGAGAGGGGGAGGGCACAGCTGTCAGGGCAGCCAGCACCTGCAGCAGGGAGTGTGGGCAGGGCAGCACCCAGCAATGAGGAGCTGCAAGGACAGGCACTGTCCCATGCCCAGGGTTAGACACAGGGAGAGGCAGGGACATTCTGCAGGATACTGAGTGGTCCCTGAGGAGCCCCCAGCACTCCTGCCCATGCTCCCCCCTGCACCAGACTCACCTGACCAGTGTCTGGTTCTGCAGGTCCCACACCACGATGTTGCCGTCGCTGCAGCAGGAGAAGCAGACTTTGGCATCAGGGCTGATGGCCAGGGCGTAGCAGGCGGGGGCAGAGGAGGTGAGCTCAGCCTTGATGCGGGGCGTGGGGGCTGCCAGGTCCCAGATGGACAGGGTGCTGGCCTCCCCCCCCACGATCAGGCTGCGGCCGTCGGGGAGCAGCTTGCAGGAACGGATGTAGTTGTCACGGTTCTGAATGGGGGGAACAGGCAACAGGGCAAGGCAAGGAGGAGATGATGAGCACACAGGGGCTTGCAGGAGACACATCTCCTTCTGAAAGGCCCCTGTGTCCCCTCCACTGGAACAGGGGAACATTCCCCTTGTCAACCACACCCAAAGGCTTTTCTGCTCCTCCTGCTCCTCACCAGGCAGTCCAGCTGAGCCACGGCCGTCTTGGTGCCCGGCTGCCCCACGTCCCACACCTTGACACAGCCCTTGCCGCCGGTGTAGACGTGTCGTGTGGAGTTGCTGATGGTGACAGCACACACCACCTCGCCGTGGGTCAGGGTGTGCAGCTGCCGCGCGTGCCGGGGGATGCCGGAGCCGATGAGGGCGTCGGGGGGGAAAGGCACCGGCTGCATCTGCCCGTCAGCGCTGACGTGGAAGGAGTAGGCACTGCAAGGGAGCAGAGCAGTGAGAAGCAGAGCAGAATCCTGCGTGGACAGCGGCCGGTGCCACGCGGGTCCCAGCGGGTCTGACACAGTCAGCAGGGCTTGGAGTCAGAACATACCCGGTGATGCCAGCTGGGCACACAACAACCATAGCCCAGGTTTCCCCCACTATGTGCTCCTCATCCCTCCTGCCCCCAGCTTGTCCACACAGCCCAGCCTCAGCCCCACAAGCCACCCCATGCCCTGCCCAGCCCGGCCCCACTTACGGCTTCCCCGAGGTCCCCACTTGCATGCTGGTCACCAGCCCGGGGACTCGCATGTGGGGGTGCGGGTCGTAGCCCACCTGGAGGGGACAGCGAGTGAGAGCAGCTCACACTCCATGGCCCCACAGCCCCAGGGGACAAGGTCACGCACCAGGGGCGAGCGCCCGTAGCCACCAGCTCCCGCAGCCCCGTTGAGCTGTGGGGACATGAGGTGGAGGCTGGCGTAGGCGCCAGTCCCGGCCACGTCCCCGTTGACCGCAGGGTGGGCCAAGCCAAAGGCAGCTGAGTAGGGGCTCTGCACTCCCAGCGGATTCCTCAGGCCCAGGGCTGGTGGGGGAGAGGCAGAGTGAAGGGATGGGGCCTGGAGACAGAGCCTGGGGACCCACCCAGGCCCCAGCGGGGCCAAGCTCACCCAGGGGGTCCACGGGGACCTTGGCAGCGGTGGGGCGGAACTGCTGGGCACTGCTGGAGCCTGGGAGGGTGTCACCCTGGGAGGTAGGGGTGCTGGACTTCAGGCTGGGTGTCCCTGCCTTCTCCACCTGCCAGGAACAGAATGGGGAGGTGGCAACTGCACCACGCCGCTGCCAGGGGGTCCCTGTTAGCTCCCCCTCCATGACAGCCCAGCACAGATAGTGCCCAAAGGTCTGTGGGAGGGGATTGGAGCTGAGATCTAATGGAGCAGGAGCTCCTCCCTGTCCCTCCAGCACTTTGTCCCATGGGTTTGGAGGTGGGGGACCCAGGTCTGGCCACTCTGTCAGCTGAGCCTGGGCCACAGGGACACAATCACAGGTGAGTCACACGTACCGTGGGCGCATCCTTGCTCCGAGACGGGGACGTGCTGCTGGAAGAGGCCATGGAGGTCGGACTGAGGGGCATGGCCTCCTTCCTGCCCAGTGAGACCTTCTCCACCCCATTCTCCCGGGACGAGTAGGAGTGGACACTGTGCGGGGAAGAAGGGTCCTGGGGGAGAGGGAAATCAGCAGGGTGAAGAGAAGGCAGGAGAGCAGGGATGTCCCAGCTTATGGAGAGCTGGTGGCTCAGGGCCAGGCTGCCAGCCTCGATCCTGGGGGTCATTGCTGCTGCTGGCGAGGGTCAGGGAGCACAACTCCCACTGTTAGCCCCACCCTCAGGAAGGGACAGCACACACTGACCCCAGACCCCTTCCAGTGTCCCAGCATACTGACCTCATCCACCACCAAGTTGTCTTCACTTTTGTCTGCATCACTGCCCTGAAACATGGAGCACAGTTGGAGCCAGAGGGGCTGGAGGTGCCCTCACTCCTGCCTGGAGCTGTGCCAGAGGAGAGGATGGGGTCACCCCCAGCCCTGAGCTCACATAGTCTGTAACAAAGTCCTTCTCCTCCACCTTCCTCTTCTTGCTGCTGCTCAGGTACTCGGCGATGGCTCGTGCACGCTCCCCATTTGACAGTGCCAGGGAGCTCTGGGATGAGGGGACACAGTGTCAGTGGCTGAGGATGCTCTGCCCAGCTCCTGGGACAGGCAGCAGCAAGGCAGAGCTGACTCCAGGAGCATGGAGGGCCCCAGCCCAGCCCTGTGTCCTGACCACAGCCAGTGCCACCACAGATTGGTTCAAGAGAAGAAAAAGGCACTTACGGGGCCGGGGTCTCGGTCTGTTGCTGTGGCAACGCAGAGGAGCAGCAGGAGGAGGA